TCTTCTACTCTCGTATCATTCGCTGTATGCGCTGATTCCAAAGCGCGCTACAACAAAAAATATTCATAAAAGTTAGTAGTACCCAAAAACTAGATTCGAATCCGTTCGAAAACTAAATTTTTAATTAGACAGAAATGGTGCAGCGATAGAAGAATCTCTCCGTAAAGTTCATGAATTTCTCACATTGATACTTAGCAGATGGGAAGCTGCAGGCGGGAGAAACCCTTAGTGAAAAATCTGTTGCTTCCTACGAATATGAGTGAGGACAGTAGTTTCAAGTCAAATGTGTCTCCTGGTTGCTTTTTTATTTTACTCCAGAGGAGAACCATAACGGTATTGCATCTAAAAACGCATTTCAGTGAACTCCAATTCTGCAAAAACTGCCTGCTGCTTTCGACAATGAAAAACAAGCTGAAGAGGAAGAATCCAAATCATGTAACAAGATGCTGAATCGAAATAACAAAACAAGACAACGATGCCGAATTCTCGGATGAGCTTGTTGCCCCTCAGGAGTGGCTCATCCTAAAACGATGCTCATCCAGCTGCTGAAGACGTAAAACTGAATTAAACATATCAGCCACAAATACGATCTTAGAAAAGACGCTTAAAAATCACCTTCAGTTCTTTGAGCTCCTCGTCTTTTTTCTTTTGTATTTCCAGTGAAACAGCTGTTTTGTCTGCCGCCTCCAGATATTCAGTTCTCAGCGTCTCCAGGTCATCATTCAGATCTCGACGGCTCTTCTCCGCTTTCTCCCTCATTACCTTTTCGTTCTCAAGGTCTTCTTTCAGTTCTTCGAGCGAAGATTCCAGTTCGCGAATCTGCTTTTGCAAACTAACATTGTTGGCACTGTCTTCATCCGACCTGCATGCATTTTAGAGAGTAAATCCACTCACATGAACATGCACCAAGGCTCGTCAAAGTACTGGGTGGTTTCATCCAGATGGACAAATTCCTACTTTCACATTCACGTCACTACAACTTTTCGGCTTTTCGATTGTTAATCTATCGTGTTTCTTCTGGACTTGTTACCGAGCTTTCTTTGCTCTATAATTTAGATGCCTTTTCGCTGTGCATTTTAACCTAAGGTCTCCTCTGTCTTTCCCAAGACTCATTCTCTTCTTATCATTATTCTTTTCACAATTCCCTCTTTATTATTATCACTTTATTAGTCCTCTTGCACTGTTTGCACGTTTTTATATTTTCCGTTTGAAAAAATTATTTCTCCATCCCCTAATAATTTTAGAATATGTACTCTTGGAGACAGTTCGTAAAAATCCCACTAAAAAGCTTCTTCTGGATACTGACAAACCACATCACCGACGGGGCTCAAAGTTATTTTGGGACATAAGACCTAACCGATAGAAACATTTCATTTCAAATTATGTACATATTTTCTGCAATCAAGAACACATTTGTTAACTTGTGCAATCGAAACCAGACCTGCCAACTTTTTTCCACTTCGTTTCACTCCCTCATTCCGTTATCTCTAACGGCCTGCATGGGCACCAGATAAAAGACCAGAAAGTGTTAATAGAACTAACTTTGTTAAAAGTACGCTCAATTCTTCTTCACGTTTACTGAGTAGTGAATTCAGTTCTTCCAGTTTGTTCCTTTTCTCCATAAGCAAATCCTTCTGCTCCTCCATTTCTACTTCGAGCTTCCGCTTGAGACGCTCCGCTTCAGTCCTTGCCTACAAAAAAGATCACTTGGAGGCAGCTCCAGGAATGTGCGAAAACAATTCGCGATTGGCATGCTCACCTGTTTCTCCTTCTTCAGTTCCTGCTCATGCTCCTGCAGCTGCATCTCGATGCGTGAGCGCTGCTTTCCCACGTGCTTCGCCTTCTCTTCCTCTTCCAACAGATGGTTCGATAACTGTGCTGCTCGTTCTTCTACGTTCTTCTTCTCTTTTAGCAGCTAAACAACAACTGTTTATTCACGGTCTCAACTGATACACATAGGAGTAACCTCACCGCCACACCTACCTTTTCGTACGAATCGGCGAGCTCAGCGTGCTTCTCCTCCAGTTTCTTCCACCTCTGATCCACACTCACTTTATCAAGCATAAGCTTCTGGCGTGCCTGCTCTTCCTCCTCCAGCTGCTCCTCCAAGTCGCGCACCGTCTCCTAAAACATACACGAAATTTAACCGCGAAACTCATCAGACCACTGCAGAGGTTGCGAATCCAGCTTACCTGCAGTTTCTTCTTTTCTTCCGACAATTTTTCGACCTGTTCCTCGCCTTCATCCAATTTGGAGTTGAGTTCGGTAAGCATATCCTCGAGTTCTACTTTCTTCGAAGATAATCTTTCGCGCATTTCTTCAATTTCTGCTCGCTCCTCGCTCTCCTAAAATAATTACATTTGTCGCTTTCCATGTCAACAAATGCTTGCTGATTTTTACTGCTGAAAAACAAAGAAATCAAACATCGCATAGCAGGACCTGCTCGTCCACCTTATGCCTGACAACAAAGTAAAGGTATGGCTCAATGCAACTCATGACTGCTGCCCACCTGCTGCAGCTGCTCCTGAAGGACATTCCTTTCTTCGGTAAGCTGTTTGAGGCGTTTCTCAATTTCGCCAAACTCGATCTCCCTCTTATTCAGCTTGTCCTTGACCACCTTCAGCTCCTCCTCCTTCAAGGCAATCGCTGCTTCCTGGTTCGTCACTTGCAGTAGTGGTTTCACCTAAATTACAAGCTTCAGCTGTACAAATATTGTCAATCTGTATGCCCGCTGCACGCTAGGTCTGGCGATGTTTTTCATTTAAATTTTACAGTTTTTGCCTAAGTCATCTGCATACACATATACAGAAATGCAAACAAACAAACAAGCACACACACGCTGCTTCTTTGAATGAAATAGAAGGGAACGAAAAAGCAGAAACCTTAGTAAACAGCCTCCACCACTGCCAGTTTCTGAGTTTAAGCCATGCCAGACCATTTCGTTGCAAAACGCGTATTGCGTTGGACTGCTGCATGCGTTTTTGGTAGAGGCGCCTAGCAAGAAAGGCGCGACACTGAGCTTGGAAGGAGACGATCAGATCGGTAAGCTTCAAGTCGCGCTCCTCTTCGAGATGCGCCAGCACGCTAGCCCGGAAGAATATCTTCGACTGACCAATGCGATACAAATTACTCTCCAGTTCCAGAGCATCAATCATTTTCCTGCAAAGAAAACCATTGGAATGCAAAAGCTCAGAGAGGAAAAATGTGGCTTTCAGTGCCTTCCAAGAAACTACCAAAATGCACTTGCAACCTTACCTTACGGCTTCTTTTCCATCCATAAATCCTCTCGGAATAACATTTGGCGTGAGTATTTCATAGCGATGCCGAAATTCTTGAAAAGGCACTCTATTCGGAAATCCTTGTCGACAAATTCGGATTCCTTCTAAAACGCCATTGCAGCGCAGCTGCTCCAAAACGAGTAGCGATGAGATTTTGCCTGCCTTAAAGAACAGAAGCGTTCACAAGCCTAGACCGGCCTTTAAAGTTCATTAAAGATAATCGCCAAAAACACCACCAATCAATTCAGAGGCGAGGATCGATGCAACAAGCAGCTGACTCACTTTCTTCTCGTGATTTGGTATGATGCATCGAACGAAATGAGGGTTCGTGTTGCGTAAGGTGGTCATCAACCGCGTCAACTGCTCCTTGTGCATTTGGCTCACTGTCCGGAACATTCCCTTTTTGGTGCGCACGCCGAATGCTGTTTCGCTGTACTCAGATGCGCAAATACCGGCAAACTCCGCTGAAAAATAAAGTGGCAGCAATTTCGAAGCAAAATGCATCAGCTAATGCTAACGAAATGAGACCGGTCAGCTGGCTTACCATCCTTCCAGATGCTGACCACAAATGGGTCGGAGGAGTTCTGGAACAGAGCAACGACATTTTCGTTCAGTGGATCCATATTTTTCATAAGCCACTGATCAGCCGAATAATCCACCCTGCCAGCATAGTGGATGACGGCAAAATCGGACTTAGCACGCATTTCCGGAATGACGAATTTCGGGTGCTTTGCATGATTGACGAGTAATTTCTCTACTAGCGATTTATCAGTTGCTTTAGGGAACAAACACTGCTCATCCAGCAATGCGAGAATTCCCATCGGCTGAAAGACAGTCAGTGGTAATCTCTGCGGCACGACAAAGAAAAATTGATGTCACGGTCAACCGTAACTCAATAATTACCTTTTCAATGAGATCGATAGTGGGCTGTAAATCGAGGCCGAAATCAATGAATTTCCAGTCGATGCCCTCACGCTGGTACTCCTCCTGCTCCAAGATGAACATGGTATTGTTGAAGAGCTGCTGCAGCTTCTCGTTCGTATAATTGATGCAGAGTTGCTCGAACGAATTCAACTCGAAAATCTCGAATCTAAAATCAAAGTTCGTTATTTGCATTGCTGTTGGGCAAGAGAATGCAAAAAGAGAGCAGTGGTACCCAGCAATATCCAGAATGCCAATAAACGAAGTGCCCTGTCGACGAGTCCGATCCAAAGACTTATTCAAACGGCCCACTAACCACCGAAACATTTTCTCATAGCACGCCTGCAAATGCAAATACGGACAGCTGCAGAAGCAAGATACAGATGAAGCAGAAAAGAGCAAATAAAAACCTTGCTTATTGCTTCCACGGCGAACTCGGCCTGTTCCTTGCTTTGCGCCTTATGCACAAATTCTCGACCAACTTTTATGCGAGGACGCAAAAAAGCTTTCGTGAAATCGACCAGTGGAAGACCCAGAAGGTGACAGAGTTTCTGCGCAACTGGAACGAATGCAAGTTAAAAAGCAGCACTGCGGAAAAAATTATCCGGACAAAGAAGTGCGTAAGAAATCACCGTACCTCTGTCGTCAGGAAGAATGGCCTGATCCGATTTTTTCTCCTGGAAAAACTCCATGTTCCCAAAAAGTAGAACAGCCGAAACTAGCCGCAAAACCGCTAGAAAAAAACATTTTAGCAATCGAAATTTTGACACTGCACATGCCGGTTACACTAACAAAATCGATCAATGGTAAACTGAAAAAAATCAACCTCATTGTTCAGAACAGTGCCAAGAGTAGCCTAACTTACATGTGATTTCCTCTTCTTGAAAACCCATAATCTTCATCGAGCGAACGGTATTATGGAACTCATTAGCATCATCAACGTTTGGAAGATTGATATAACCGTTGTTTAAGAAGCGATATTTATCCACATCCTCCAGTAGGAAATTCCCTTAAACAGCAAAAAATATAAAATACAGTGCTCTTACCCGGACAAAATTGCCGGCAAATCTGCCTGAACTGTTGCAACAGAATCGAGCACAGGAGCAAGTGGCGATGGAGACAACCAAGCGAGCGAATTCATGAATATACCTTTCTCGGTAGCAGACGTGCCACGTAAAAACTGATAAAATATATGAAATGATCGCTCGTCGGCCGCTTGACGTAAAGTGCGCGATTTTTCCAGCAAGTAAAACTCAATATTTGCGCCAGAGATGTATCCAGACATATCGAAGTTAATCCTGATGAATTTCCCCTGCAACAGTCACTACGGCGAAGCGAACCAGACCGTATGGCTCATGTGAGAGCATCAGGTTCGGTTGAAAGATGATGAGACGAGCTGGGTGGATGAGAAATTGAAAGATCAAAAAGAATTGCGGTAAAAATACAACTTTCTTGTGGGGGGAAGTAACAAAAAAAAAGTATTTCTTGAAATTCCGGACACGTTCCACAGTATTAATTGCCTTTAGTGAAACCAAACTCACGAATCTCGAAGAATTGTCATTCTTAACAGTTTTGCTGTTGCCAAATGCTTCAAGTATTGGATTAGCTTGCAGAAGCTGATGTTCCAGCTCACCCTGAAAGACAAGCGACGTCAACAGACGCTGCTATTGCACGTGTGCAACGTCATCAGCTTAAAGGAAATGAACATAACTCCTTCCCTCACCTCTGCACTGAGAGATAAGCGATATTTTCGTTGGAGAAATGAAT